TCTATTACACTCGCAGATATCAACTTCAATTTCCTCGAAAAATGCTGCGTCAGCCGCTCGCACAAAATATGTGTCTTTGAATCAGATACGTAAATGGAAACTAACACAGCTATTTTATCCTCAGTAAATATGTGACTCAAGCAATCATAATAAAATTGTGTTCGAAAAATGTCAAACTCCCCGTCAGTAATTCCCGTCATGCCCACATAATTTAGATAAAACTACTCATTTTAATTATCTCCCCTACTACCCTTTTTACAAAATTATCAAAAATCCATCCTTCCAAATTAATTTAAAATTCCTAAACTAAAATAATATACCCCCTGAAAAAGGACATTCCCCTAAAAGAGCGAAACCCACTAAAAAGACAATCCCCTTTTTATAAAAAAGGAACACTTCTGGCACCAAATGTTGTATCCGCTAGTGGGTGGGGTGTCCAGAATAATTACTCGGGCGTGATGTTAATTGGGTTCATTTATTAAGCGGATAAGCAAATAAATACAAATTATAATATCTTACTAATACATGACTACGCTAATATCACAGAGAAATCCCCATTATTAAAAGGGTATAATTTAGAGGGAGGGCTACCTACTACTGAACCAAGGGTCGGGCAATGTAAATCTCCTATTAGCCTATCACCACATACCTGCTAATATCAGCGGGAGAATCATGACCAGCTAGTTGTTGGCTGGGCCGCGCCTAGGCTGACTCTGACTGTAAGTTGGTGGTTCACAAGGACCGACCATATCTAACCTCAAGGTGGTGGGGGTTGTGACGCAAATGCTGGTTTCCAGAATTACCTCAAACCACATTTGGTACTGGATATAATGTTGCAAAATCTCAAAGTTAAAAACTACTTTTGGCTGAGCTCCCTGCTCCAAATATAAACGGAATCAAACTGTAAACTAATAAATTAACCCATGTGAATACACAACATAACCATTACATCTCCCTCTTTAAAGGTTGAGTTTCTGGAGAGGTTTTATAAGTCATCTTGATCTGGATGTTATTTTAGCTGAAGATTTCCCAGAGGTGTCTGGAGGAACCACCATTGAAAAGTTTCTTATGCCTTCATCGATTCGATGATCCATCTGACCACTTGTTGATGGTTGACGTTTGTGGTTAACCGTTGAAAACTTGGTTATGTACGTACCGTTGTCTCCATAGATTCGATTATCCATCTGACCACTTGTTGATGGTGGATGGTTGTGGTTACTTGCCTTTTGAATATTTGGCATTGGTCGCAGGTGAAACCGGTTTCTTCGAACTATGGTTCCTTTGTCAGTCAGCACTTTATAAGATCGTGGTGAGTTTAGCTTTTCTACCACTTGTCCTTCACATTCCAAATCAATTATCCAAACTTTGGTTCCTGGGTTTACATTTGATTAAACCCTGCAGTAAATTTCAATGTCCACAGTAAATTTAAATGTCCACAACAAAAATACTGTGTGAGTCATTAGATGAAATTTAATGATATCATAAAACTATTATTTCCATTTTTAAATGAGTTTGGGATTTCATAGTTACTCTGGTAGTAAATGATGAAAGTCGTAAAGGATAAAAGTGAGTATCAATTACAGTGATAAAACTTGTATGAGCTTAACTATTGCCTCTATTAGTTCTTGGAAGTACTTGGCATGACCTGCTTGAGTATGACAAAATGATAATTGTCATGATAAAATGTCAGTGAATTTGGGACTGCTAATGAGATTTTTATTGCATCATTACTCTAAAGAAACATAAGATAAACCTTTTATGTCCTACTAACCAACTATTGATGATCACGTCAAATTGAGGCCTTTTCCGAAAAAAGGGTACATAGGCCTATGTGCCCTTTTTCCGGAAAGTAGCTCAAACGAACCGCCATATTGTACTGTGTAACCACAGTCAATTTTGTTTAGTTATCTCAACAGTTGGCTCCCTGGAATATTTTTTCCTAACAATGTGTACAGCATATAACACATTTTGTTTATCATATAAAAACATAAATTAACGACAAATTTTGAGTAATTAACATTTTGAATATTAAAAGCTGAATAGTAACACAATTAGATCTAATAATTAGATCTAAATTAAAATTATTTTAAGGTAATGTTAGGAAAAAATGTTGATTATGCAATTACAAGAGGAATACTTTACGTCTCAAATACTCAAAACTGCATTTTGGCCTATGTGCCCTTTTTCCGGAATAGGCCTCAATTGTGCAATAACCGATGAACCGAACAAATTTTTTATGTCAATTCTTGATTTAGTTTTTTTTTGCTAAAACCCGGTAAACTGACAACCAAATTAAGCAATGGACCAAACAGACTTTTTATGTTGATTCTCAGTTCAGGTTTTTTTGCTAAAACCAGTAAACGGACGACCGACTTAAACAACGAATCCATGAAATGAAATGAAATATTACTTTACTATCACAAAAACATTTTACAAATCCAGCGTTAGCCATCCCTAATATATATTAGCAAAAAAATAATTGACATAAAAAAGTCGGTTTTAAAGCGTACATGTTTGAGTGAAAATTTAAAAAAGTACGTTTTCATGTCCCTGGCCTTTTACTTCGTAGATACTGGATTTGTAGTTTATTATTATGTGTTTTAATATTTTTTGGGACGGGGGCAACATGTTACACACATTCATTTAGTTTTAAATAGGTTCTAGGTATTTTTTTCGTATTTTTAAAGTCTCGAAATTCACGACCATGACGTGTCCCTAGGGTACATTTTCCAACTTTCACGCTGTTTTTAGACTAATTATTCATGCCGAAATGTATAAAGCCATATTTTTATGTCATCAATAGTTATTAAACTTACAAAAAAGGAGCATATTATAATTTTATTGTCATTGAAAACTGGCTACCATGACAAAATAAGTCTGTCCCTCGATTTGGCGTCACGACCATTTGGGAAAAATTTTCATCTTTGGAGCACGACAGTGGCAAGCCTGGCATCGATTGCATCAGTTTGTTTTGGAGACTAGTTCGGGGTGTACGTCAAGTTTGTTGAGCCGGTCGTTTTGTGTTGAAAGAAGTAGTTACAAGATTAATAAAGGTAAGTTTGTGTTTTTTGTAATTTTGGTGTGTCCATGACCGTACGTAGTCATTTGATGAAGTAGACGTGGTGTTAATTTTTGTTCATATGATATTTCAATTGCTAAATTAACCTAGAAGTCCACTTTTTATCCTCGAACATGAGGTGCAGGGCTACCGCCAGAACAGAGCCAAATAACACGTAATGTCACGACCAAAGTTTCGCGTCCATCGTGGGTTTTTTCACGCCCAATCCAGCCTTATGGATTATACTGTGTTTGGTCGTGACAATAACTTAAATATCATTGTAAATTGAACAGTTTAGTTCAATTGAAACACATGTTTTTATCATAACTAACAGTATAATTGAAGGATTGTTTATAAAGATTTAGATTATTCCAGACAATTCACGACCGTACCGCTTTTCCCTGACCATCACGTTTATGATTTCTATCATAAAAATTTCAAAAATTAAAATATCATCATATTTCAATGTTTTATACACAAAAGAAGCACACCTCTATAAAACATAACGATTTTTCGGGTCTCAGCAGTGCCGGACATAGGGTACTTGCGGCCCTAGGCCAAATTACTTGAGCGGCCCTACTCTTGTGGTGGAAATTCCTTGAGATCACGGAAGTAATCGTGAATATATCCTATGCATCAAGGGGACATCATCATCGACACCCGTGATCGTGGATGAAATCGTGGACATCTCTCCTAAACCAAGTCAAAGCCATCATGGGTATCCGTGACCACGGCAAAATCGTTAACATCCCCGCGGGCTGCAACAAAGGGACATAACCCTCGACACTCGCGACCGCGGCGAAATCGTAATCATATCTAGTGAGCTGTGACCTTGAGGACATCACCCCCGTCACCCGCGACCACAGTAAAATCGTGAACATCTTCCGTGAAGCAGCAATCATGGGGACTTAATCATCGACACTTTCGATCGCAGCAAAGTCGTGTTTAAAAGATCTACCGTGGACTGCGATCATGAGGACATCATCATTGTCACCCGCGGCCGTGCCAAATCGTAAACATCCCCCTCGGGAAGCCATCACTGAGACATCCTCATTGATATCCCCAGACGCAACAAAATCGTTATCATCTCCCGTGAGGCGCAATCGGGGGGACATCATCGACACTTGCGACCGCTGCTACTTATTGAACGTCTCCCGTGAGCTTCGATCATGAGGATACATCACTGGCACCCGCGGCCACAGCAAAATCGCAAACATCTCCCTTGGTCTGTGGAGAAATCATTATGGTCACTTGTGATCAAGGCAAACTGGTGGTTTGAAAAAACTAATTATTTTTTAATATAAAAAAACTTTTTTCAAACCTCTGCGGCCCCCTTTTGCTTGCGGCCCTAGGCCGTGGCCTAAATCCGGCACTGGGTCTCAGGTAATTTTTTTTGGAGTTATACAAACTTAAAAGATTTTATTGGCTTTTTTCAATTTTTTTACTTTTTTATTTTTTTCTAGAAAGGCCAAATATACTAAAAGCTTAGTGAGCTGTTTATTGTATAATGGCCATCAAAGTAAATTAATTTATAGCAAAACATAGTTATAAAAATAATATTAACTATTTTTAATATTCAGTTTTATGTCCGTGATGGTCGTGACAAAATTTTGTGTTTTTCCATCAAAGATGCTCTATTAATAAAAAATCACCAAATATATTGCGTTTACCATGGACATTTTATGAAACTTCAAATGTCAATTAAATAAAAAATATAAAAAAATTTCAAAAAACGGAACAAAAAATTTTAAAAGTGCGTTTCCTGAAAACGTACGTTTTTAAATTTTCGCTCGTTTATGCAACTTAATTACTGTTTGCCTTTTAGCAGTAATTGACATACAATGTTATGCCTTTTTAGTCTCCATTTTAAATCTAGTTTACATTTAAAGACAATTAGAATCTATTTTACATTTAAAGACAATTATAATTGAATAGAACATACACATTGCTCATCATCTGGATCTCAAGAAGGATCTGTTTGATTCGGTGGTTCAAAACCACAAGCTCCTCTGTAGTCATTGTGATGAGGTTCCTGTTCCTGGCAACCTGATGGAAACCACAAACACCACTGTTAACTGTAAGAGTTGATGATTAAAAAAAGTAGAGTTAAGAGTAAACCTTTACTAGTGTACCCGTTAGAGTAGTTGATTCAAAATAAATCAACACTCAAAACAGTTTTAGATTGAATCATGATAGGAAGCTGATTAAAGATTAAGTAACTTCTAGTACTACTCATCTATACTATATACAGGGTGATCAACTCAAGTAGGCCACCATTGGGATATCGGAAACGGTAAGAATTAGAGAAAACTTTAAATGGGGGACATTCCTTTATTTTTTGTGGCAGTTAAAAATATGATTTTATTTTTTCGTAATTCAGCCGCCATTTTCCAAAATGGCGGCCAACTTTGAAATTTCTTATGGAACACCCTATTTTATCATGTTTTCGGATAGAACAGGCAATTTAAAAACTTTTTTATTCTTGAAATTTTTTCGATAAACCCACTCGTTTAGGAGTTACAGCCTATGGAAAAATGACTTCCGGTGTACATTTTACATCATGTAGCTCCTAAACAAGTAGGTTTATAGCGAAAATTCGAAAAGTAAATAAGTCTTAAAATTGCATCCACATTCCAAAAAGACCATAAAATTTTAAAACTATTAATTCTATTATTTTAAAAATGGCGGCCATTTTCCAAAATGGCGGCAAACTTGAAAAGTGGAAAACTGTGTATTTTATGGTCTTTATGGAATGTGGATGCAATATTAAGACTTCTTTGACTTATTTACTCATCGCATTTTAAAATAGGGTGTTCCATAAGAAATTTCACAGCTGGCCGCCATTTTGGAAAATGGCGGCTGAATTTCGAAAAAATAAAATCATATTTTTAACTGCCACAAAAAATAAAGGAATGTCCCCCATTTAAAGTTTTCTCTAATTCTTACCGTTTTCGATATCCCAATGGTGGCCTCCTTGAGTTGATCACCCTGTATACTATACTATACTATTATATAAAAATCTAATGGTGTCTGTCTGCATGTGTGTTACTAATAGTAATAGGCACTAAAACTACTCAACCGACTAGGCTTAAATTTAAAAAAAATATAGCTACCATATTAAGAATGGTAGCAGATCAATTCACACTTCGATACTGACCGTGGGCTTTGTCCCTTTGGCTTTAAAAGTTCTTAGGTGAGGATTACAATAGTAAATATTGGTTGGTCTCCATAGCTACAATGAGAACACTCAGAATGTTTACATTTGCTTTGACAATTCAATGTAAACAAGAAGAACTACCATGATAACAGAAGAATAAAAGTTTTTCCCTTGTGCCTAAATCAATTAAAACGCTGGATTTTGTGACAGGGATTGAGTCTGCTGTTTCTCAGTTACCTGAGTCTCAGGGGATCAGTTCCGTTGTGAAGCTAGTATTTTACTAAAGAAAATTCCCACTCATAAACCTAATCTTAGTAAAGAGGAAACCATAGCAGTATCAGTCCTCGGGAAAGACGGTACTGTATAGATTTTGCCCGCGGATAAAGGGAATGCCACGGCAGTTCTTAATACTGTGACATACGAAGAAAAAATGTTCGAAACTTTGCAATCTGGCAAATACACCCAATTGAAAAAAAGACCCCACAGAAAATTTTGAGCGTAAAATCGCTAGTACTCTAAGAAAACACAAACAGTTTTTTAGCGACAAACAAAGGACTCGGTTAACACCACACCATTCCAAAATTCCACACATGTACAGGTTACCTAAGATCCATAAACCTAACATTCCACCTTTGACTTCCACTGAGACCGATAGTTAGCTCCCGTGATTCTGCTTGTAGGGAATTGTCTAAAGTCCTTCTGGATATTTTAAAGCCTTTAGTAGGAAACACTGGTTCGTTTTTCAAAAACTCTAAATATTTCGTAGAAAAGTCTAAATCTATCGTACTGGCTGATACTGACAAACTGGTCAGCTTCAATGTTGAAAGTCTGTTTATGAATGTCCCCGTTTCGGAAACCCTAAAATTAATTGAGACTCGTCTCACTAACGACGATTCTTTAGCAAATAGTACAATTTAATGGAACTTTTGGAGTTTTATACTCTATTTCCAATTATAGGGTAAATTATACTGTCAAGATGAGGGTATAGTCATGGGGTCACCATTGTCACCTATCTTTGCCAACATCTTTATGGAGGAGTTTGAGCAAAAAGCTTTGGCTTCAGCCCGGCTCAAACCGAAGATATGGTGGAGATATGTCGATGACACTTTCGTGGTTTTCCCTCATGGAGATGATAAATTGAATTAGTTTTTAGAGCACCTTAATAGCGTTTCATATTTCATCTTCTATAAAACTAACCATGGAGGTGGGAATACAAAACAAACTCCCTTTTTTGGATATGTGCGTAGAAAAGCATTTGAACAGTCTTAGAACATCTGATTATAGAAAGAAGACACACACAGAGCAGTATTTAAACTTTCAATCAAAACACCAAATTTCTGTCAAGCAGAGCAGGGGGTTGCTTACTCTCTGTTTGACAGGGCTAAGAGCATTTCTTACAATCAGGATGAGTTAAAGGATGAAATAAAGAAAGTAGAACAGGATTTGGCTAGTAATGGATACCCTCGATCCATTATAAACAAATGCAAGAAAGATAGGGCTACGCGTGAAACTTTACAAAATCGCAAGGAAAAGCTCGTCCATATTTCAATCCTGTATGTGTCAGGGCTGTCGGAAAAAAACAGATGGGTTGCTAGGAAATTTAATGTGCAAACAGCGTTTAGAACACAAAACACACTTAGGCAGAGTCTCGTCAAAACAAAACCCAAAAATGACACTCAGGATACTAAAAACTGTGTTTACAGAATAAATTGTAATGATTGTTCCAGGCCTTACTATGACGAGACAAAAAGGCCATTGAACATTAAATTCAAAGAACACAGGGAAAACACCAAAAAAAGGTTTAGTGGAAAAATCTAAGATCGCTCATCATTGCTGCTCCGAAAATCATCGTATGAATTTTGAAGAAGCAAAAATTGTCCATAAGGAACCTCATTTTTTCAAACGTAAACTCATTGAAGCCTGATACATTAAAATAGCGGACCAACCAATCAGTCAGTCTTCGGTTGAAATCAGGCCACTTTGGCTACCCATTTTGAACAAGGAAGTAAAGGATAGGGAACTTAATTGTTCAATAAATAGGGAAATAATGAGTTCTCCTCAATATTTGCATGTTATGTTAACTCGTAGTAAAACTCGTGATAGGAATAAACAGAATTAACACCCATCTTGCGGCATCTTACATCGTTCCGCCATTTTGTTGGTTTTTCTTTTCCAGGGACTGGAAGCCATTTCTGTTGTCTCCGTGTTTCCGATTGGTCGGCCATGTTGCTTCAGTCTCATTGGTGGAGTCATTGCGAACGGTGCTATTAGTGTTCCATTGTGTGAGCTTTTTTTATACTACACCTATTATAGATTACTAGGGTACCTGTTGCTCGAAATCGAGCAATTGTCAAGTAGCGGTATTATACAGAAGTTATTTTAAAACTACAGTAATAATAGTCATAATTTTCGATGAGTTTAAAAGACCCGACAAAGTGCTTATGTAACTAATTGAAATACTCACGCTATTTAATAGCGCTTTGAAATAATAAACGCTTCTTGTAAAAATATTTTAGCATTTTTTGGACCCGGCCTTATTTTTTAGTGTTTTCTACAAATGTTTCCCGACTTAAAGCTGTTACCAGTAAACATTTCTTGCATGTATTTATTTGATCTGACTTGAGGTAGGTTTACTTCAAGCCGTACGCCTTGGGTTTACTTTACCACTGTGACAACATGATGTGTATATTCTTCAATGTTTTTTTTACTTACAAAATAAGTTGCTTAGCATAACTGGCAAAAATCATTCATCTCCACCATTGATTGTGTACCTGGATTCCTTACTGTGAGACCAGGCCTCTCCTTTACTCTTCTCATACGCGTAAGATTTCCTATTAATTGTCTCCTCCTCCTGTTTTCAATATTTCTCGTTTAATCTCAAGAAATTGTCTGTTCTTCCAACAAAACTGATTGACTGTTAAGATTTGTCTATAACCTCCTAAATATTACAAACATCAATATTTACTCCCAAAAAGCTGGCGAGTTTCATTTTATATACAGCTGTTTTTGTTTTTAAATTTGTTTTCAATGTAATTCTTATGGGGGAAAATGCGACCTTTGAGAGTGTCTCGTTCACAAAAAACAGCCCTCACGTATTAATATAAGAGATAGTGTTTCGTGATTGGTTATTATTTGTATGTTGTATCATGACTTGACTGCTAAACAGTGCATGTTTTTTTACTGCTACCCTCTGTGACGCATCAGACTTAAAATTAAGACAGCTTGAGCAAGCTCATCAATTAATACTTAAATCTAAAACACCTTCCGGTCTAAATTTGAGATAGTATATAAATCATTTTTTCTTTTTTTCTTTCTATCAACACTTTTTTTTTACTTCTTTATCAATTATATGTATTTTGGATTTTTGCTAAAACCATCTGATTCAGAATGGTAAACACTTATATTTGTTATTGTTTGTTTGTTCATGTTAACCCCTTAACCGCCGTCTAAGTAGCCTAGTCAAAATCCGCGATCGCCACGTATTTTTGCCGTTTTTTGACGATTTTGACTTGTCATCTTAAAAATGGTACTAATTGTTTTTTTAAAGAAAATATTTATCAATATTGTTTGTTTGTAGACATCTTCAAAAACATTAAGCTTTAACAATACTAAAATTTGAGATGGGGGGGAGGGGGGGGGGTTCCTTGACTTATAATAACAATTAGGCCTACAATAAAGTTTTTTATAACAGTACTCACCTTTTTTTCTTGAGTTTAAAATAAATGTTCCTTTGAAGTAAATGAAAAACTAACTATTTACAATATGTACACAAGCTGGTTTAGTTCCTTTTAGTAGTGCTTCAGAGTGTGATATTCTTTGAAGCAGGGAACGACGCACAAAGCAACGCCGCAGTCCTCGCACATGTAACGCGACTCCCGCCTTGCTCGTT